TTATAGTCTCTGTGAACATCTATGTATTTCCTCTCAAGAGCCAACAAGCAGTTGGCCATGTGGATCAGAAGCTCAGAAAAGACTTAAAAGTTACAAGAGACCAAGTCATTTGTTCTAAAGGAAGTAAATAAAATAGAGCTTGGATCATCATAATATATATTATTTCTGTACATAATCTAGATTAAGTCTTTTCTCTAAAAACAAAAAAAAAGATAATGTTTAAAATATTTTAACTGCTCCTAAAAGTATACATAATAAAGTGAATTTTTATATGAAGCTTTTTTTATTACATGAAAAGAATCTCCAGAGACATTAGTTATTTAAAGCATGTCACTTTGCTTGTCTTTTAAAATAATTAATATAGTTATACTTATCTCTATTGTTTCTTAAATAATGGTTGTGATTTTACTTATCATAATACTCTCCAAGTATGAAGAATCATCAGCAAAAGTTTATTTCAAAAGAAAACACGAATGTTAAGTAAATAAATCAACCATGAGTAGAAATACATTTATGTTTTTTATGAGATCTAGGTGTTCATAAAGAATTTACACATGTATCTGTGTAAAGATGCATAAAATGAGAAATTCTGTGTCTACAGTCATTCTAATTCCTGCTGGTCCTTTCAGTACTGCAAAGCACAAGAGAGTATTTGTATCAGTGCCAATTAATCAACATTATTGTTATAATTTGATTAGCAAATGTCCTAAGAGGGGCCAGGTCTCCAAAATTTAAAATAAAATCTGCACTTGAAGAAGCAAATTTCGTCAAAACTGTGAAGTTTGTTTGGACTCTGGGCTCTGGCTTCCGCTTTTGTCAAAGGGAGATATTAATGCACAACACAAAGTGCTGGAACAAGAATTAAATGTGATAGTCCTTGTAAAACACTTACCTGATGACCTAGCCTAAGAAAATATTCCATAAACCCTGGCTAGCAATAGCTAGTGACATTAGTTGTTCACATACATTATGTAGGTTAAAATCATTATATTCGGACTGCAGAAGAAAGAAACCACATGGTGATTTTGTTTAAAATGTGTATTTCCTTCTCATAGTTCCATCTTCCATTGAGTTAGGAGTAATTTGGACCATCACTTTTTCTGAAAATGAACAGGGTTATTTCAGTTATTCTCTCAGTTGGTCTTCCTGCTCTGAAGCCAGCTCAGGCGTCTTACTATTGCCTTGGGAAGTTAAACCCTGAACTTATGTCTGTCTACGTCAGACAAACACAAGAGAAAGCAATGCAAGTAAGTAAACAAACCAATACCAGACACTTTAATGGTTCTACAGAAATACCCCAGCAATTAGTACCAGACAGTATCCATTATAACACTATCTTGCCTTATTAAAACCTGGCTGAACTGCCCCCTTCCAACAAATACTCATGTGTCTCTTATGCCTTTCTTTTCCTCCCTATCCCACATTCCCACCCTACGGTACAAATGATGTTGGGTTGGGGAAGTGAGGAAAGACAGGACTGGGCTTGCAGCTTTGTGGAGGGTTTGGTTTTTGCAAAAATTTGCTCTCCCTTGCTTACCCAAGTGAGGAAGCAGAATTCATAATGATGGGAGAAGCCAGAAAAGAGGAAACACTTACATGCTGTGCCTCAACTGGTGGTTTGTTGAGCTAACACTTATACCCTCACCCAGTGAAAATGGTGAGGAGAGTTATTAAGAAGTATTAAGGGGTGCACAGCTTGGGGTCTAGGCAACCAGAGACATAGTTCTGCCTGCTTCCTCTTCTGGAGTTCTCCAAAGCTGAGGTCGAGAAGGGTGGGGTGTTTGCTGCATTTTAGGACCAAGATTGTGGTGTAGAACACAGAACACAGAAGAGGAGTTCAGTGGAAGATGCTGAAGTTCTCTATGTAGGACTGAGGAGGAAAAGAATAGGCAGACCTCTCACTATGCAAGCAGCTGCTGGCCAACAATGGCAATGTCCCAGACCAAAAGAGAGTTGGAAGCATAGACAACAGATGTTGTGTGCCCTTCTTTGTAGACCAGGAAAAGCAGAACAGGACCCAAGAAAACTATGGCTCTACCATTTCCAAGTATCTCAGTAGCAGAACTTCCCCCACCCACATCTGCACAGGCACTAAGTGGGAGATGAAGAAGGAAAAGAGCAAGCTGCACCTTTCCTCTAACCTATAGACTCTTCTGGCCTCTAGGACTGGGGAAGAGGAGGCAGCAAGATGTGTACTGGATATGAGATTAACTGTTTCAGCAAGACAGAGTTTTAATGGCTGAAAGGGACCAGGAAGCAATGGAGTCTACTCCAGGTGTTAGTAAGAGATGGAAAATGGAGATTTAACAGAATTAAAGCAGAGTTTGGAAAAATTAAAACTGGGTCATATGTTATTCTTCACTAAGATGAAGTTCTCAAATATAGGTTTACAAGATAGAGTGGTAAGGGTTAAGGTAAGACCTTCTAATTAACCACTGTAGCTAGCTTCTCTCTGGTCCAACTGAATAGGTTTGTGCAGAAGGAAATGATTTGGATACTAATTTAATGTAAGGAGGAGGAGAACATTCATCTTCTGCAGTAGGGAGTTGGCTGAGGTCAAATTCAGGGGTCTGTGAGCATAGGGTTAGGAATGACTGGGTACCCTGGCAGAGATAAGAGGGTCTATGCTAGAGAACAGCAGATTCTCTTACGTGGCAAGGTTTTAGAATTTGCATGTAAATACCAGTTTTTTTCTTACTGCAAAAAAAAGTATGTGTATATTTATGTGAATATGTTTTAATAGCAGTTGATGGCTTTCTATAAAAAGTTTTGATTATAAACTTTCTTATTATACCGCAGTGTTGATTATTTGAGACCCTAACTAAAAATCATGAATTTTAATGGGTATAGAACCACTTACATAAAATAGTAAAAGCCAGGGTATGTTAGTGCATTCCTGTAATTGCAGCTCCTTGGGAGGCTGAGGTGGGAAGATTGCAAATTCAAGACCTGCTTGGGCAACTTAGTAAGATTCTGTTCTCAAGAAAAAAGAAAAGAACTTTATTCTACTTATGGATCAAACTATATTAAGAGCAAGAGAAATATGTTTGGTGTCTAAGATTTTTCTTGTTTTCTGATAAATCTTTAAAAATTTTTTTTGAGTCTTAAGGGAACCTGGTAACATAAGAATGGAAATAAGAGTCAATTTGTGTCAAACCCTTTCTCTCCAGGAAAAGAAGTCTGCATTGCTGGTCAACAAAGCCTCTCTCCACTGGAGTCCTGCCATGAAACATGGGGGTGCTTCCAGCTTGCCCTCGAGTCCTGTCACCACTAATCTCAGGGCAAAAGGAAATGAGAATGTCCAACTTGCTTTGGAAACTGACATCTTAAATCTCTCAAACTCCTCATCCCACGTTGAAATCCGACCTTGGATACTTTTCCTTCTTCCTTTAATCCCATTCCTCTTCCCAGTCTTACTTCTTAAAACCACTTTTCTCCACTGTTCCTGTTCCCCAGATGCTATTTCAAAGGATAACAAATGCTTTTTTGTTAAAAAAAATGACTTTTACTGTTCCCAGGGCTCCAACACTTCCCAAGGTATTCACAGCTCAAAGAAGCAGACACTCACAGGGTAGTTTTTCATAGACGAGGTAGGATAGAAATGAATGTTATTAACCTCTGTAGAACACAGTGTGTCTCAGCTTTCACACAGGTACTTCCTCCTGTGAAACTCAGCTGGTCTCTCAGAAGCCCACCAGGCCCTCTGCAAATCCATGGGCAGACCAGATGTATCTGTCCCTTGATGCGACAATAGAAAACTCTATTTTCTTCAAAGCCTAAGATCATCCATCACAACAATGCACTTTCATGAATACAATTTAGTTTTACTAAGTACAACTGCTATATTGGCTTCACAGGCATACCATGTCTTTCAGACTAAGGAATATATAACACTTTTTACAAGGGGAGATTAATCCTAGTGTCAGATTGGCTTCTAGTTCCATTAATTGCGTAATGAAAAGGTCCATATGGAAACTCTAGAATATTTTTTGGTGCACTGATTCAAAGATTTAGGTAATGAAAGCCACCTTCACCATAATTTTATTGTTTGTCTTTTTGACCTTTGAGACATAATTTCTAAAAATCACTTGGACATCTGGCACAGTCATCATTGACATTCCTAGATGGGCTCCATGTCTAAAATGATCTGTTTGTTTTTGTTTTTTCTAGTGTCACTGGGGTTTGAATTCAGGACTTCACACTTGCTAGCCAGATGCTCTACCACTAAAACTATGCCCTGAGACATTTTCACTTTAGTGATTTTTAAAACATGGTCTTATGCTATTCCTTGGGCCAGCCTGGGACAGCAATCCTCCTATCTCTGCTTCTGAATAGTTGGGTTTACAGGCACGATCCACCATGCCCAGCTTGTGTGTTAAGAAGGAGTCCTGCTAATTTTTTGCCCTAAGCTGACCTTGAACTGTGATCCTCCCACCTCTGCCTCCAAGTAGCTGGGCTACACAAGCATAAGCCACCATCCCTGCCTATAAAGGTCTATTATTGGGATATCTAGGATAAAGTGGTACTTATTTACTTACTATCCCTTGTTTGCCCAGCTGAGCTGGCCTTAGAGAAGAACAAAGGGACCCACAGGGGAAGCCAATGACACTGGGCATATTGAAAAAGTTTAAATAAAATTTTTGTAAAGTTGCTTTGGTCCACATGTGTGTTTCAATATCTTTTTTGTTCTTTTTCTCTTGATAGTGATCATTCTGTGATGAAATCATGGCATATAATAAAGCAAAATTATAGCTCACTTTCTTAAATGAGACCGGGCAATAAAAAAAATCATAATAGCTATCTTTAGCAGAACGTAGAACTAAAATTGAAAAGAATCACCATCTCAACTTTGGGGTGGGGTTCAGTACAAATAAATTTAAAAGCAAAAAAAAGTGTGACCCAAATATCCCTAGTCAGTTTTATTTTGCCTTGCCAAGATAATGGCGTGTTCCATATTTACTTAACCTCTGTCCCCTCTGCCCTGCTCGTTTCTGACTTACCTGCAGTTGGAGTGGGCCTAGGCCTGGTGTGGCTGCAGCAGCAGCTGCCATGGTCGTGGGGATCAGCTGAACAGGGTAAGGGTCACCTAAGTGAGAGAATAGCAGAGCCGTCAGCACCTTTTATCTACTCTCCACCTGCAAATTAAACTCCTGCATTCACTCTTTCCAGAAGCCTTCTTTGTGTGCCTTGCTAGGCCTAATGAAAAGCTCTATTGTGTAGCCTTTTACCAACACTCTTCACAATTCTGGCTGAGAGAGGAATGTGAATAAAAGGCGCAAGCAATTAAGGCAAAAACCTCATCCTTTTCTCTTGATGTATTTAGGAAAATGGGAGGGGGTTGCACATTGGACAGAGGGCTGTGCTTTGTAACACACACACACACACACACACACACACACTCCTGACAATCTTGATACAGCACTTCAGCCAATCCTTGGCCAATTTACAGTGTTATTAGAAAAGGAACTTACCAAAACTTACTTTTATTTCAACAAAGTAAACATCACCGATTTAAGCCAAGTAGCTTATCTTTCAAATTGATGCTATTATTCAAATAAACTCTATCATATCTTGTGGACAGATTCATAGTAAAGAAAACATTGTATGTGTTTTTAGGTTATCTAAAATATTGGCATTTTTTATTCTGGACATACATGTTTATGAAAGACAACAAAAATAGATGGCTTCCTCCCAAAAGATTTTAGCTTTTAAGAAATCATAGTAATTTGAAATTAATCTTGAAGTTTTAGTATTTTTATGATCAATAAAAATACAGACAGAGAGACAAACACAGAGAAGATTATTCTGCAATTTGTTTTGCAAATCAAGAGTTTTTTTTTTTTTTACTTAGCAAAGGGGTACAATAGACACTTTGCATAGAGCCCAATGACAGGCTAATAATAAACTAATGTAAATTATTAGCCATTTGAGATATAACCATAACAAATAACTGAAAGCATAGCTAGAAGAACACTTTGGTTACAATAAACTTTTTAGAAATTTATTTTATGACAAAGATTTGCTGAATGTTGCATGCATAAAAAAATAATGTAAGATAACTGACTTAATGTAGCTATTAAAAAACACTTACTGAGTACCTGCTCCATGTTGAGCACTGCTCGTGGCACTGGAACAAGTTCCAAGAAGCCAAACGTGCATATGTGGACTTAGCGGAAATGTAATGAAGAAGGCTTCCTAAGAAGTGTGTTCACGGGGTTGTGTGTTTTTATATTTTTCAGTTTCCTCACTTTTATACTTTGTCATAATTTCTTGTTATAAGTATTTATTTTTATGTGTGTGTGTAAGTTTTGTATTTTTATTCTGAAGAGTGTCTCCCAAGTTATATGTTTCGGGTTTCAAAATACCTAGATTTATCTCTGCTGGTAACTTAAAAGGATAACTAAAGGATTAATATAAACTATCATGGCCTTTAGCCAAGGAAGTAGTGTGAAAACCATTATGAGTGTCCCAAACCTGGTCTAAGACAAATACATCTCAGGATGTAGTCATGTTTAAGTCAACCCTCAATTAAGGAAAAACTAGTCAAAGAAGGACAAAAGAGAGTTTTGGGCAGAAAAAAACATGTCATGAAGTTTTCAGAGTCATATGGAAGGTTTATATCATGATTCAGTCCCCATATTGCAGAAATACAGGGAGCAGGGATGAAGTGGAGGTGGGTGGGACTGAGGAGCTAAGTACTGTACTCCTGACTGCTGACTGACTACGTATGGTCCTGAAAGCAATATTAAAGAGACTAAACTTCATCCTACTGGATAAAAGTGACCTCAAATGTGGAAAACAGACCAGGTGAATAAGACCACATAGGCTTGGGGTTGGAAACTATTATCAGCTAGTAAACAAGGGCAGAAATCTGTATAATGGGTAATAATGGGCTGGAGTGGAGTGGTGACACTGGGATGGAGAGTCATGGGGAGACTCAAGTGATATTTGAGGGTAAAATTGACAAAACTTGGTGGTTGTTTCTAAGGAGGATAAGAGAGAAATCCAGGTGGACTTCTAGGTTTTTCACTTGAACACTGATTGGAATGAGGTGCTGTCTGTTGGGTTTGTAAACATGAAAGAGAAGCAAGATTTTCAAGTTGGGCTTGAGGGAAGGGGGACATCTGGAGGAAGGAACAAAGTAATGTGTTTGGAGCATTTTAAGTGTAAAATTATTTTCTCTGTGTGGTACTGGGGCTTGAACTCAGGGCCTACATCTTGAGCCACTCCATCAGCCCTTTTTTGTGAACAATTTTTTCAAGGTAGATTCTTTCAAACTATTTTCCTGGGCTGGCTTCGAACTGAGATCCTCCTGATTTCTGCCTCCTGAGTAGCTAGGATTATAGGCACCCAGAATGAAATTACTTTAGATATCCAAATTCAGGTGTTCATCAAACACTTGATGTACATGTTAGGATTTTACTGAAGGTCCACATAGGAGACATAAATTTGAGAGTGGTCAGCATACTTCTGAAAATTTGAATTTATAAACTTTGTTGATGATATTTAGGAGTTAATTGTAGCTTAAAAAAGAGGTTGTAGGGTTGGATTGTGAACTAACATTTACATCTCAGAGAGATGGGAGGAAGTATAAATTTGCTATTCCAGAAGCTAAGTAAAGAAAGAATTTTAAACAGTGATCCATTTTTCCAGATGCTAGGCTTAGCAATGTGGATGTCACTGGTAAATTCAACAAGGTTCAGTGGAGGGGAGGGTGAAAACGCTAACTTGGACTGAGTATGGTCATGGAGGAGGACAGAAAAGAAGGAACTGGAGGCAGATGTGGAGACCCTGACTTTTCCAAGTGAGATTCTTGGTGAGCAGCACTGGCATCACCTAGGACTATCTCAGGAATGTAGAATTTCAGAGTCCCTTCTAAATCAACTGCAGCAGGACAAAATCCTAGACAAAAATCCATGGTTTTCATTGCCCAGTGCTTCTGTCCCATTTCCCCCCCTACACACACACCCCTACCCAACCCCACTGGGCGAGGGCCATTTCTAATAATTGCCTTCAAATGTACAGAATATGGCAAATTCAATGAGATTTTAACTTTTGAGATTTGGTTACAATAGATTCTGTCTTTCCTTTCCCTCCCTTCATCACTGGAACAAGTAGCTGGGTATGAGCTGTCCTCTGGAGAGGCCCACAGAGCAAAAGGCAGATGTTTTTGACCAATCCCAAGCAAAGACATCAAGCCTGCCAACAGCCAAGGGAGTGAGTCTGGAAGTGCATCCTTCCCAAGACAAGCCAGGAGATGACTCCAGTCAGGCCAGCACCTTCATTACAGTTATGTGAAAGACCCTCAGCCAGAGGCACCCAGCATGGCAATGTCCCAATGAATGTTATGTCCCTAAGCTTTGGGATCATTTGTTAAATCAGGGAGCAAATAACTTCTCAATCAGAATTTCAACTTGAGGATTCCTAGATGACTTGCATGCTTGTTAGCACTTGAGAATTGTCAGCACAGACAGCTCCAAAGTGGTAGCTAGTGGAAGAGGAGGGATCAGGAATACTTCATTAAAAAGGCAAACATGTGGAATAATTACAGCATGCTTGATACTGAGAAATATCCTGTAAATAGGAGAAAAAAACTTACAATAGAGGGGAGAGAGAGAGAGAGAGAGAGAGAGAGAGAGAGAGAGAGAGAGAGAGAGAGAGAGAGGGGCAACTAACCATACTTGACAGGGATTTGCTTACCATTTGGTATTTTAAGTTATTTAATCTAAAAAAAACTGTCTACTTGTACAAAGGGAAGTTTAAATGTTTAAAAGCTGAGCTCTTATTTACAGAAACAAGCTGAAATAGCAAATATTATTACAGCACAATGATTAGAGTAGATAATTTAGATGCTTAAAATGGTGTAATTCATTTGTATTCTTCATTTAATGATCATAATCTCAAAATTAACTAAAGCACAGTGTAGAGGCTGTGATGCTCTGCATAGTGATAATTCATGTTATATGATTTGTTTTTCTTGTTGTAAATTAATCAATTAATAAGCCCTATAACATCTACCATGTGACTAGAACTCTGCTAGATGCTGTGGCAAACAAAAACAATAAAATGAAGCAAATCTTGGTCTTTATTTACTGTACATCTAACTTTTCCCAGTAAGTGTTTACTTCAATCACAGTGACCACCAGTGAGTGCTAGAGGACCTAAAGGAGAACCATTTGCCAACTCTGGTCTTTAGGGAATGGTTAAGGTGAAAGTCAAATGAGCATGGCCTTGCAGATTTGCAGGTGGATGGGAGGAGGTTAGTTTCAGGTGGTGTGAAATGCGTCAAGTTGAGAGAATCCAGCTTCATTGAATGTAGTGGGATAAGGCAGAGGGAAGAGATGGAAAGCAAACAGTTGAGAAACCATATAGTCCAGTCTCAAGGAGATCTGTGTACAAAGAGGCAGCAGATTCAAAAGAAAGTTTTAACAAGCATCACTACAGAGGCCAAGGAATAGGCATCTTAGAGATGGCTATTAGGATGTGACCCTGGGTATCTATCCCAGGGACACAGGCTTTCTCCTAAATTTGGGTTAATGGTAAAATTTCATAAAGGTGTTTTCTGCATTACCAGCATCTAATTATTAATAAATTATATGCACATTTAAACTCATCAGTTGAAATCTAGACATTTCTTATAATGCTATATTAGAATCTTATGTTTTCTCATTTCCTAAATTCATGAAGTTATGCTAGTGGAATTAACATAGTTATCTTTTTTGGATATGCATATATATGTAAATAACTATTATTTTATACTCATGCCATATTACACATGTCTGTATGAATATATATATATATATATAATCATGTACATGAAAGTACATGTAAAACATTTATAAAAAGTAAATAATTTTACATGTGTTGTGGTTGAACTGTGCCCCCTGCATTGATATGTTGAAGGTCTAACATGCAGTAACTCAGATTGTGACAATATTTGGAGACAGGCATGTAAAGAGCCAAATAAGATAAAATGATATCATATGGGCCTTAACCAAATGTGACTGGTTTCTCTTATAAGAAAAAAATCAAGACATAAACTCACAACCAGGGAAGACTAGGGAAGGATAGGGAGAGAAAGTAGCC